ATGTGAGGGGAACATTGGTGACAGAGGCACAGGATGAGCGGGGCCCCAGATGTGCTGCTCACACTTGGACCTGCACCTGCAGGTCTCTGTGAGCATTGATTGAAAACTCACCAGCATTCCAAGAGAGCGTGAGGTGCTAATGGAAAGGCATTCCAGTCAAAAACCAGCATTGCAATACTGTAAAACCCACCATGGAATGCTGCCACCTTATGTATGCATATTGGTTTCATCTTGGAGCGGCTTAGCAGAGCAAGAAAAATTACTGAAAAAGATTATAAAGGATAATTATTAGCACAAAACCACAGCTGTGCAAATGCAGTCTTTTGGTCAGCTTGGAAAAAAGAGAAAAAGGAACAAAGGAGCAAAGTGTGCTCATGGTGACCAGTGCCAAGAAGGTGAAGGGAATGTTTGGCTACAACTTCTCTGAAAAGGATGCAGATATTAGTGCAAATTGTCTGGTAGCACTTTTAAAAGGCAAGGAAAAGTACTTCTTGTTTGCAACACAGAAGTAAGTGTGGAACACGGTGCTGCTCACTCTGGGCTGAGAGACCCAGAGGTCCAATGGAAAATTAGAGGAAGGAATGATATAAAAATTCATCAAAATGCACTCACTGCCACAAATGCTTTCCAGGCACTTATCAGTGACCTTATACTTCCTCCCTGCATTTCTTGCACCACAAGTTTTATTTCTCTTTGTTCAGAATGTACTTAAAAATCAAGTGCTGGGAAACCTTGATTTCCAAACAGAAAAAGAGGAACACACAACCACTGGTGTCATGGGGAAAACTGCCCGCATGTATCTGCAGCTTACTGCAGGTGTGGAGAAGCAAATGCAAATCATTAAACTTCAGGACTGCAAAGTTTGCAGATTTTGTTAAACTTATCTTTGTTTTGCCTATAAAGGTGGTGGGAGAGGGGTTGGTGTGTGTGAGCATCTGTATGTGTCCAGGAATGATGCTCCCAGGAGTGTGGAGGTCCCTCTGCAGAGGAATTCCAGAGAATCTGCTGGAGTTTGGGCTATGTTCTCCATGTTGTGTCATGTGAGGTTTGTAGCCTGCAGTCAGCCACAGTTCAAGGAATGGAAGAGTTGCTGATAAGTCCAATGTAAGGTTCTGAGCTAATGAAATGGAATGTTTGAGGTGTGAAAGCAAATGAGTTCTGTTATGGAGAGTGTAAAAAGCCTGAGGAGACTGGCAGTCTCTTTCTCAGCAGTTAGGTGAGTAGGAGAAGAAAACTGTTGCAATAGTATTGCAAGGTACAGAATTTTCAGTGAAAGGGTTTTCCAGAAAACAGCAAAAAACTCACACCTGGGTCAGCATTAATGTGATGGTAAATCAACAGTGTTGAAAGTCTCTGGTAAATTGTCTGTTTTTTCTTTAACTGGAGATGAGGCTGTAGGCTTTGGAGCCCTGCAGTAATGTTCTCTTTCTTTTAAAAAAGGTTTTTAAAATAGGTGTGACTGTGTGTTTGGGCATGTGTTAGGTCAGAGGAGGTGGGAAGGGTATGTAGCTGGTGCTAGAGCACAGCACGCCCATCTGAGCTCAACCTGACTGCAGGGACAGTCCCCCAAGCAGGGACACGGCTGTGGGCACCTGAAATGACCTGCAGTGTTCTTTGAGGTGTCATGACATGGCCAGAGCTCCAACCTGAGGAGAAGGGAGCACTGAGGTAAGGTAGAGGTGTGGAGACAAAGGGCTTTCCCCTGAGGGACAGAGTGGTCACGCCGTGGTCTGCACACACAGGGCACTCTCACCGCTGACACTCCACGGGTGATGGGCGTCACGATGGGTTATCCTGGCTGGAAAGCCAGCACCAGGAGCTGGTGATGTTAAATACAGCTGTTGTAGGGCAAGCTCATGAAACTGGAAAGAAATCCATGAAACATGGTCTCCATGTGTTTTGTGTCTGCATGCACTGTGGGACAGCTGGACAAGGTCCTGATCCTGATTTGGCCTGGGGTGTCCCTGGGCAGCACTTCAACAGCCAGAGGATAAGCTGAGGTCACAGCAGATCATCCCAGACCAGCACTTGTGTTTACCAAACCTAGACCTCAGCCATGGCGCCCCAGGAGGAGGAGCTGGACAGCCTGCAAGGAGCCAGCATCACTATAGTGATGAGACTATCGAGAGAACCAGCAGCTGGTACATGTGGCAACTGCAGGTAAAGGCACATCTGAATTGCTCTGACAGCTGTGTGTGTGCAACTCACCTGTGGCACCAGTAGGAAATGAGTACTCAAAGGACATCATATATATGGGTCCCTTTCTGGTGTCAGGAGGTGTTTACAAGGATTTGGCCAAGCTAATGGGTAACCCAGAACTGATGTCATTGACCTTGGAATTCCTAGGAAGGGAAGGGAATTTTTTCAGACGGAGTACTTGTACATCATGTTTCTGTCACACAGGCCTTGAGGGGAAATGCTCATTTACACTAATTTCTGTTCCTTTAGGTAGAACAAGGTTATGTTTTCATGCCTGACTGCCCAACTGCCTGGTGTGTGTGAGAGCTGTGGGGTGAATGGCTGGGGGTGCTCACACAATCAGCCTCTGTAGGACACCCAAAAAGTACTTAGTAAATCACAGTCAGATCTGTGATTTGGCTATGGCTGGACCAAACAAGAATGTCTCACGTAAAAATTTCTTCTTTTTTTGAGTGCATATGGTTCAAAAAGAGCACTTTCAGATCTTTCTTTTTTAGTTACCTACTTTTGGTGATTTGCTCAAAGCCATGTACTGAATTTCACCCCCTTGCATGCTAAGAATCTTATTTCATCACTGGAAAAATGGTAGCAAACTTCTCTAGCTTCTGGCAGACTTTGTCAGAACTTGAGAGTAAAATGCAGGCTCAGCAGAGCTGGTCCCTATGAGCAGGATCTGAGGGCCCATCTGTGCTCAAGTTTGAGGACACAAGGACTTTACTGTGTCACCTCTAATTAGCCTGAGATGGAGTAGCAAAAATTACAGAATAAAGAGTGCCTGAACTGTGATACTTGAAGAAATGATGCTTGGAAGAGTGTTTTGAACTCCTGTGTGTTGGGAGTAAGGTGGATGCCTGGGGGACAGGGTGCCTTACCCATGGTGCTGCGTGGGAGAGAGCAGCATGTTCAACCCACAGAAGAGACACTGGAGGAAAATACTGCATTTTAATAAACTGAGTAGCTGGCCATAATGTCTGAGACATTGAAGGCTTTTTCTTCGTATATTCAGATTCAAAACTATAAGGAGTCCCTCCAGTAAAGAAGAAATGGGCTGACTGTGTGACTCAGGGGGAAGACTAGCAGCTGTGTCTCTGTCCAGAGAGAGAAAGACGTCATGTACATCATATTTGAGGAACTGCAGTACTTCATGTCTATTTTAGTTAAATAGTCTTCTTTTTTTTTTATCCTGTATAATTATAGCCTCAGGAAGTCTTGCATGTCCGGTTCAGAAAGTAGTCCTATCAGCAGTTTTAGCTTGGGTTTTCAGCTTGTTCCAGGGCATGTTCCCCAAAAATCTAGCTTCTTTTAAAGTCTTTTGTGTAGCAGACTGTTTCTCTGTCATAGCCAGGGTGTGGAAAAGGTTTGTTTTAAATCATCTCTATGAAAACGGATTCATATTCCCTCTTTGACTGACATAGCTTGAATTTTAATGAGTGCTTTTTTGTCTGCTTGTTTGCTTTTAGGCAGGACTTAAACGTCACTAAAGGCTCCTCAGAGGCAGCATGGGTAGACAGATAGAAGCTATGTGTGCTGGTACCACACTGGTAGTTGCAGCAGAGATGTCAAGAAAAGTCAGCAAAAATCCAGTTTCCATGTCTTACATAGACTTGTTCTGCAAGAACAGGTGCTGCTGCCTCTGTCGTCTTCCTTGGCTGGATGGCAGCAGGTGGTGACTCTCAGCCTGGAGCTTTGGATGAATTTGTTGCACCAGGTCTTGCCACACCACATTCAGCTTTTTGCTCCAGGTGGCCTCTGCTCGCCCCAGGCAAGTTCCACTGTAGCAATCAGCAGGGCTCAGCCCCAGTCACCGGGCAAGTCCCCCCTGGGTGGGCATGCCTCCACCTGGGACTGAAATGAGATCCCTACAGTTCTCATCAGCTTACTGACTTTGGCAAAATGAAGATAAACTCCAGCTCTCATTGCCCTAACAGAGAGGGAACAAGCCATCACTGACAGACAGCAGCACTTCCAGAGATGGGTCCGAGCTCAGATGCAAGGTACACACTTCAGCCCAAGCAAACAGGTATCTGTTGTGATGGGACAAGGCTGTGGCAAAACCACCCCATTTACCTTTCCCTCCCAGCTCCAGCAGAAAATGGCTCTTTGTCCTCCAGACACATTTGCCTCCTGCTCAAAGATACTGTTCTCCTGGTGCAGTTGTCACAACCTTATGCAAAATCATGGCTATTGAATAAAATTCCAAAAGTTTCTCTAATGACTGGTGAAACACCTACAAAGAATTCACTAGGTCAGTAGATCTGCTTTTATACATGATTCTTATCAACTGTAAATCCTTCTTTTGGTAGTAATTAGCAAGCCAAGATTAATCCTGTGCATCACACCTATTGGCAAATCTTGGAAGTACTTTTAAAGGTACCCTACAGAGCACATCCAGAATGGCCCCTGGATTAAAGTCCCTTGGCCGCCAGTCGTAAGTCACCCTCTTGGCAAACATGACGTGAGCCTGCAGAGCATGAAACATGATGACTTTTGCCCACAAACTGGACTGTTGTAGTAGAAATGTGTGCTTAGGTAGTCTGTGATATTCAACACAACCCAGCAATGGGCACTTGCAGCCCAGAAAGCCAACTGTGACCTGGGCTGCATCAAGAGAAGTGGATGGGGACAAGGAATGGGACTGGAGAGATCCATACAGCCTTTCTCCTTCCATTACCCTTCACCTAACCCAGCAATGAAATGGACTCGTGATGTTTCAGAAAGAGGATCCTAGATGACAAAGGACAGAAGAAAGGGAAGTGTTCTTCACTTGCAGTCTGGTCCCAGGAGGGTGGGGGTCTCTCAGAGAAAGGAAGACAGACCTGCAGTTCTGAAAGAATGAGAGAAGTTGGGTGGATAGTGGTGTTTGTGATGATTTTCATCAGCTGCAATGGTGAGTAAATATTTCTATGGATAAGAACAAAAATCAGAGTACTAAGAGGGTAGGGAAAGTCTTTTGAATTATATTGTCTTAATTTTTTTAAACTGACAAGCGTGGAAAGTCTTTAGTTTATTGTATTACCAACAGAGTCTGAGAATTCACAAGGTTCTCCTTTGGTATTGGATACAACGAGGCACTTTTAAAAGTGGAGCAAATGGGACAGTATTGGGCAAGTCAGCTCCCCTGCCCCAAGGCAAGAACAGAACACAATTGTTTGGGACTCTTGGAGAGGACCCTGTCTGGTGTGCCAGCTTTCAAAACAGTCCTGGTGAAGCTGGAATATGCATTCTACTAGAATTTAATAATGCATCCCCATCATTATGCGTGCATGGCCCCAGGAAGAAGAGGAGCTGTAATTGTGAGACCAGGTGCAGGCACAGGAGATTCCCCTTGGTCTCTCCTATCTGCTGACTCCCTGGTTGCATCAGGAGAGCTTAGACAGCAGCCTTGGCTTCAGTTCCTAAGCTTATGACTGTATATACCCTCTCTCAGGGCACGTATGACACTGGCAGCAGCAGAGGAAGGCTCTGGGAAACAGGAGAAAGGTGCTTTAACAAGTTGTATACAGAAGCACAGGATTGCTCCTGACGTTTAGAAAAATGGGTTGAAGTACATTCCTCATTTCAGCATAAAAAAATAGCTTTGCAGATTTCTGGGATCTGCCTCACGAGCGACTTCTTGTGTGAACATAACCAGTGCCTTTTTGGGGAGGTGAAAGGTGAGAGGAATGAGGGGCATGGGGAGAGGTGAGCCAAGTCCAATGAAATTCAGTTGATTTGCTACTTATAAGAGGCACTTCCCAGAGGAGCTGTGGGATCCATGGCCAGACAGCTGGAAAGATTGCAAGAATGAGCAGAGAAAATTTGCCCCCTCTTCTTCTGTACTTACCTGAGTGCTTGGCAGGGTGCTGATCCTGTCAGGAAGTTTTCCAAGGCTGAAGCAAAAGGATTGGCTTCAGTCCACCATTCCCATTCCAGGCCCAGTACTGCAGGGAATATCCCTAAATGCTCCTGCCTGCAAGGAGCCCCCCTGTACCGAGAAGGAACTGAGAACTGGTAAGTGTCCAGAGAGAGACGCAATAAAAACAGCCATGAGGTCAAGGCAGCCGTTCAGTTCCCTGTGCTTGACTCTGTGGGCTGGCTTAGTGGCTGTTGTGTCCAGCACATCTGAGACACAGCCACAGGCTGGCTTGCACTGCCGGTGAGTCCCATCCGTCCTGAAGATGTTCCCCTCTTCTGCTGCATTCTGATTTCTTCCCTTCCACTGTTTTTCCCTTCAGCCCTCCTGGATCTGTCTGGTGTCCACCAGGTCAAGGGCACATGGATGGGATCCACCACTTTACCGTGTACCTACGTGCCTTCAGAAGGTTTCACAGAGCAAGCACTCAGTTGGAGTGTGGAGCGGGACTCTAGCACCTCTACCATCTTTCGGAGGGATGATTCTGGTGACCACATCTTGCTGTCTAACTTTCGAGATCGAGTCAGCGTCCCAAAACACAGCCCAGGGAATGTCTCACTCCTAATTGAGAACCTTGAAATGCCTGACAGCGGACACTACACCTGTCAAGTCATCTGGAGGTCTACAAATAACAGCTTGATAACAAGGGAGGTGACCACTATAGTTAAAATTGTCAAAGGTAAATCCCACGACAAACCCCTGCTCTTGTGGAGTCAGTTAATCCGAGAGCAGGTAGGAGAAGCAGTGCTGGTGAGAATAGTCTTTCACACCACACTGTCTACCCCATCCAGGCTAGGGGTTGAGGCATCTGCCTCCCTTGATGTGTTAGTTATCACTTCTCCACTCATGGAGATGTAGGGATGGACTGGGGAAGGGGGTCAGTTAGCGTACAACCCAATCTGGATCTACTGATAAGCCACTTGAACCAGCGGTGCTTGAAATAACATCCAAATCTGATTTGGGTTCTCTGCAGGTAGCCAGCCACTGTCTTTGTGGTTCTTGTAGCAAGTGGGTGATGTGTGAGCCAAGTTTGCCTTCTCCCCTTCCCAAGCATCCTTGGTGTGTGCTAGAAATTACTGTCTTTCTGCAAGGGGGGTTACCCCCCAGCAGAGCAGGACTTTGTGATAGGGCTGCAGGAACAGTGGCACAGTTGGTGTAACCTGGTTTAAGGTACGGGTGACCTGAGCTCAGCCTATGCAGGGAGGTGATGCGAGAACCACTTCATCCTGAGAAGGCACTGACGGCCAGAGCGAGAACTGCCGTGGTGGAGAGACCTTCCCCAACACAGCCAGGGCAGCGTGACCTGGGCCTCTCTGCTTTGTCTTCCAGTGGCAGCCACCAAGCCCATCATCAGGGCCGGCGAGCTGGGGCTGACGGTCCCGGCCGGAGCCAGCACCAGCCTGACGTGCGAGGCCAGTGGGTCCCCCCCCATCAGCTACCGCTGGTTCCGGAGCACCCCGGGGGGGAAAGTCCTGCTCCGGAGCAGCGGGGCCGAGCTGGCGTGGGACAGCCTGCGGCCCTCCGACAGCGGGATGTATTTCTGCGAGGCAGCAAACAGGGCTGGGGGCGGAGTGGCCCAGCAGAGCGACACCGTGCAGCTGACAGTGACAGGTGAGTGCCCAGAGCCACAGCACAGAACATCTGGGGCCCTTCAGCAGGGCAAAGGAACAGCCCTACTTCCCTGCCCTGAAAGAAGGAAGCGCCAAACACCTTTAGTACTCCTTGTTGCTGGCTCCAGCTTGTGTCCTTCTTTATTTCCTGTATTCGATGTCCTCCTCCTCTTTGAGGAACTGCTCTTTCCTGATGCAAAAGAGGTTTTGTATTTCAAGCACTTACTGATTCCTCTGTGGGTTTTTTTGAAGTTCTCACTGCCTCTGTAACGCTGCCTACTGCAGTTCAGCAAATTTAGACAAGGAGTCAGGAGGAACAAGTGAGCGGGAATTCAGTGGGGGAACAAACTAAACTGGCCTTTGCCGGACAGGCAGACGTGCCGCACTTCACACACGCCATGATATGACTCGTCCAGGCTCCACACAACGGTGCATGATAGGGTGGACTTGATGGCCTCAGGGGTCTTTTTCAACCTAAACAATTCCATGACGGATGCGTGGTGGAAAACTTACAGCTCTCCTTGGCTGGTAAGTCGACCAGCAGAGCTGTGAAGCCCACGATGGCACAGCCAAGCACAAGTACCACACGCTGGCCTGTGAAAGAGGCAAAGTTTGCTGAGCTCCCAGGTGACGAAGCTCTGCCTGAAACACCGTGGTGGTTTTCCCAGCAGTCGCACATTGGAGCAAACAGCACGGGAACAGGGATGAATGCTGGCCATGCAGGCTGACACTGCTGCCACGGCATCCCCTCCTGTCCACTGCATGGGGCTGGTTCCTCCTGCTCCTGTCCCTCCCTGCTTCAGAGTGTGCCTGAGGATGGCAGGGGGCAAGAAAATGTCCTCTGTGTCCCTCTGGGACCAGAACTCTTGGGGTTGCAGAGCTTCAGGGGAGGTCACCTAAGGCAAGAGACCTGGCATGGGGCCTCACACCTCAGGGAACTTACAGCGCAGCTGTCGATGGCAAAGCCAGGAAATCGCCACAGGAGAGAGGGAGCAAAAGAGTTCTGTGAAAATCTGAATGAATGCCAGCAGGATAAAGCCAAAGGGTTCCCAGGGTGTGCTGTAGTCAGGCATGATGCACCATGTCAGCTAGGTCTGCCAGGAACCCCTGGAGCAAGGGTCAGGGAGCAGGGATGCAAGTGCCACAGGCTGCTCCAGGGTGGTTGGCAGGACACACGCAGGATGACAGGTGAGTCCAGTGCTGGCAGAGCAGACCCTGCTCTCCCAATATCAAGGGCAGCTCCCAACGGGGTTGTGATGCATCCACCATTCTCCATTAGCAGATCTGCTCCCAACAGTGCTGGTCTCCAGGATGGATACTGCTCCAGAAGGGCCTGTCACGGACACAGGTGAGTGGAGTCTTGTGCTGGAAAACACCAGATTTGCACAGACAAGAGTGGGCTGACAAACACCATCTCAGACCAGCTCCAAATCTGGCTGCTGTGCTTATGGCAGATCCAGCTGAAGGGAACAAACCCCTGCCATGCCAAACCCCGGGCACCATCCAGGCAGAAGATGCCCTTCTGGCTCCCACCCACAGGCCTGTTGAGGGGCTTTTGCTGCCTGGAGTTTACTTGTGTTACCATCCAGGGACACCCCATCCCTGGAAGTATTCAAAGACAGGTTGGACGGGGCTTGAAGCAACCTGGTCTAGTGGAAGGTGTTCCTGCCCACGGTTACTGGTGGACGCAGGTGGGCTTTAAGATTCCTTCTAACCCAAACCACCCTGGGATTCTGTAACTCCACTGGGAAGTGACTGAACCTCAAAGTGCCCTGGGCCCCACCTTCGGCACTGCCGCAGATTTCTGTCGGGTTTAAAGCCCGTCCGAAGCAGGCCCGGGCACTGCCCGCTCCCGGCTCTGCGGCGGGGGCTCGGCCCGTGTCCCCCCGGCCGAGGTCACAGCGTTCTCCCCCCGCAGGTGCCCCCCCGGACCCGCTGCTCTACGGGACCGTGGCCGCACTGGCCGGAACCGCGCTGGGCGCGCTCGGGGTGGTGGCGGCGCTGCGCTGGAGGCGGCGGCGCAGGAAGGAGGGTGAGCGACGGGACCGGCCGGGCACGGCCGGAGGGGATGGGCGGTGGGGACAGCTCCGGCCCGAGGGGATGGACGGTGGGGACAGCCCCGGCCCGAGGGGACGGACGGTGGGGACAGCCCCGGCCCGAGGGGATGGACGGTGGGGACAGCTCCGGCCCGAGGGGACGGACGGTGGGGACAGCCCCGGCCGGAGGGGATGGGCGGTGGGGACAGCTCCGGCCCGAGGGGATGGACGGTGGGGACAGCCCCGGCCCGAGGGGACGGACGGTGGGGACAGCCCCGGCCCGAGGGGATGGACGGTGGGGACAGCTCCGGCCCGAGGGGACGGACGGGCAGGCAGGACGGCCCCATTCCCTCCGTCCCCAGCTGGTCCCCTCCAGGGAGAGGCCTGTGGGAGAGTTATTCCCGAATGTGGGAACACCTGGAAGCCAAGGGTTTTTTTGTGACACATAAAACAAGTCGATGCACGTCTTGGATTTTTTTTTTTTTTCAGATCCTCTCTATGAAGTTGCTTTGTGAGTGTAATTTCCTACCTGGCACATTAAGCACGTTGTACTGGTGTCTGCTCCTGCAAAGCCTCTTGGCTCAGTGAAAACACAAAGATTTCTTTGCCTTGCGGGGGAGGATCTGAACATTTGGCAGTTTAGTTAGCAGCACGAGGACATTAATACTTGAGCACAGGAGATGATAGCCATAAGAAACATGTCTCAGTGCTTACCCAGGTATTACTTTGTGCAGTTCCTATTTGCTTATGATTATACAAACACATCTTCTGCCTGGTCCTCATCTCAACCTTCTTACTGCTTTCCTAGTCAGAGGCACACCCTAGCCATCTGTAGCCATTTTTCCCAGTTGCTCCTGGTAATTACTTTCCAAAGGCTAGAGTGTCTGCTGGTAAGTTTAGAATATAACATGATAATGCCATGAGAACTTATGGTACCAGGGCTAACTGTTCAGTGCTTCTTTTTGTGTAATTCTTTTAACGTCATTTTCTAGTGTCTTTCAGAGCCTCACAGGGCCTCTCTAGAGTAATATGAATTTTGCTATTCCACATATTGTGTGGTAGATCTTGTCTCTGACTAACATGGAAATTAAGTGCCGTCTGCTTTAGTCGTCCCACTCACTCGTGTCTGTCCTGTCCCAACCACAGCACTGCAGGTGTCACGGCGCTGGAGGCTGAGGTGAAAGTCCCTATTAAATGTCTTCACAAGGAGACATGTTCTAGTGCTGAAACATCCAATGACACTTTCACCGTGAAAGACAGGAAGAGTCCTGAGTATGAGAACCTTGTGACTGCAATGGAATCAGAATATGAAACAGAGGGAATTTAGCAGAGTACCAGCTCTTCTGCATGAGCTGCCATGCAGGACTGCACATACCAAATGGTGAACTTAACAGGAGCAAACCCTTCCTCCTGTTGGTCTTCTGCTCTGATAAATGTTTCACTGCTTGCTTAAACCCAGAGGAGCTGCATAATCTTCTTGGGCTTTGGCAAACAAGGCCTTGCCCGCTGGAGCAAAAACCCTCAGCTGAGCATTTGTCTATCCACTTCTACAGAGTGAGTAATTTCTGAGCAGCCTGAATGACTAAGGTCAGGAAGAGAGGATCTGAGGGACTTGGAACGTGAACGTCTTTAGCCTGCAAATCCAGGAGTAGCTGGGTGCAATGCTACCAGCCAGTAACAGCAGCAAGGGGTACTTTTCAGTGCATGTTCCTGTTAGGACATCCCAGGCTGCAAAGAACCAGGGATTGTGCTGGAAATGGACGTCCTCTGGCTTTTGCAGTACAGCAAATACTGGTTTGTACATCCTGCTTGTCCCTGAGTCTTTTTTTGTTAGAGCATAATAAAGGGACCACAGATGGGAGGTTGATGTCCCAGGAATGTCAGCTTTGCTATCAAACTGGAGCTCAGTGCACAGAGGGAGAGGGAATGAATCTCCAAACTGCCACCACTGGTTTTCTACTGGAAAACCAGAACTGATGTTGAAGGAAATGGTGGCATTTAGTTTTTACAGTGTGGGGGCCAGAGGCATAACAAAATAGAGAGAAATTTGAAGCATTTGAATAATGATTAAGGGACCTCTCTGGATTTAACAGACTGACACTGATTTACTCTGTGGGACACAAGTCAATCTGTGTGATTATTAATGCTGACCTACATTACAGGGATGCTGTGGGTGCTCATGATTGTAAAATGCTGCTCCTGCCTTCAACTGCAGCACGTTCCCTACGATACACTGTCACTTGGCAGCCTGGTTTGCCTCTTCATTGTTAATCGTTTGTACTTTGCCTGTGCTGAGATGCTGCTGGCAGAGGTCTGTCCTCCCTATCTGTCCCTCCAGCCAGCATCCTTCTGTTCTCCAGGCTTGTCAGGGAGGGGGGATGCCACCTGTCCTTAACAAAACAAATGTGTAAGAAGAGTTTTATTAAACCAGTGGGTGCAGCAGGGGGAACATGGGGAAGCAGCTGAGCTCAGGTCATGCACACCCTCCTGCTTGTTTGTGTGAGGCTGCTGCACTCCTATGAGGCAGGCAGGATCCAGCCTGTCCCTGTGGGGCCACAGCAGTGCCAGGCCCCCTCCATGCACTGGTGCCTTAGCTCACATGTGGATGCTGCTCTCTCAGACCCACCAGCTCCCCTGCCCCAGCTGGAGAGGAGAGCTGGAGCCCTGAGCGAGGGTAAGCAGTGTGGGGACTGTTTGGAATGCGTGTGGGTCTCTGATGCTTTGCTCCTGGGCTGAGGGAAGTCACCCCTCGCAGGGTGTGTTTGCTGTAGCCTCGTGTACACCCCCACAAGCAGGCCCCGGAGACTCCGCGCTGGAGAAGCTGCTGGCATCAGCATTCAGGGCTGGTGTGGAACAGAGGAACGAGGGGGATGGGAAGCTGCAGCCACACTCATGCAGGGCAGAAGCATGTGGTGCAAAGTCAACACTGTGTGGAAAGGAAACTGAAAACTTCCCAGCTTCCCCATCCTCACCTCAGCGTATCCAGGCCCAAAACACGATATGGCACTCTCTTTCCCCCCAACAAGTGCCATCCTCATTAATTTTCAATTAGCCTAGTGTTTCGTGCAAATTTTCTTGCTGTTATAAACTCTGAGCTCCAGGTTCACTCATTGACTATGTAACACCATGGTTTTTCCCACTTGTCATTCCTCCCAGCACTGATCTGCCCTGAGGAGGTCTGGACACCTTCCTCAGAAGACCCAAAACCTGAGAGAAGCTGCAGAGAAAGAAGGCAACAGGAGTTAAGAAAGGGGGAGCAGATGCTCCAGTTGGAGCAGCCCCCATGTTGTCACTGCCTCCAGTTTGGGCAGCAAAAAGGCTTTGGTCACAAGCAGCAGAACAGTGGAAACACAAAAAGTCTGTCTCTGGTGCCAAGGTGGTTGTTTTTCCCTGTGCAGCAAGCGTGTGATTATTTTTTAATTTATAGTTTTTGCATGTTTGGTAGTAAAACCTGTTAGAAACAGAGCATTTTTCTTCTGGAAGTCACAGAGGATTTTGCTATGTTGCATCACCATCGAACCAGAGAACTTCTCCTTTCCTTGCACTGGTCACTCACCCAGTGATGGGACTCATCTGCTGAGTCCCAGCTCTACTCCAGCACAGAAGGAAAACCTCAGTTTCTGCTCTGAAACAACACTGCCTCCAAAGAACACACTATCTTGAGTGGCTGGCGCAGTGTCACAAGAATTACAGTTCCCCTTGCCTCAGAGCAACTGCAGTGCCCATCCCATGGAGGCTTTTACACCTGCTGGGTTTGCCCCCTACTTCAGAGCAGGGACATGGGACATGAATTCCCAGAGAAATTTATCCCACTCTAATTTGTTCTTGTAAGAGAGAAAAAGGTTAACTTTCTTCCCCTTCCCCCCAGCCATCTAGAAGGAACCAGGGGGTGGAGGGGAGAGTTATCCAAAAAGCAGAGGGACAAATTCTACTGAAAGCAAAAGCTGGAAATGCACAAGAAAACAAAAATGAAGGACATAAACAAACACTTGGCCAGCTGTGGTGCAGAGGAGGTTAGGTCTGTTGAAACCTTGAGATCTGGGTGACAGCAGGGTTGGGGCTGACAGAGTTGTCTGCTACATTAAGGATCCACAAAGCAAAGCCTGAAATCATAGACCTTGTTCTCTTTTGAAGCTGACCTCAGTGATAAAGATCAGGGTGATATCTGTGAGTCATGAGTAGAGTAGGTGCTGGAGAAAGACCATGGGAGTGTGAGTCATAAGGAGTAGGACTGTCTTTGTCCAGAAGTGCACGAGCTATTCAAAAAGCAAAACACAATTTGCTTAGGCAATGATACAAATTCATGGGTCCCAGCTTCATATGAACTCCAGCTTCTTCAAAATATTTACTAAGAAATACTTGCAACAAAAAGCCCAAAAAGCTTAGTATTCAAGTTTATTAACATTCTCAAATATTGCAAATTTTGCTGGTGGTACTGTCCTAAAACAAGTCAGTAGGGTCTTGGGAATTTTTATTCATTTCTGAGTTTTCCATGTCAAATGCTTTCAGAGAGTTTGATTTGTCAAACTGGGCTGGACACTGGCCCCACTCTGACATATCTGAAGCTGCAGATCTGATATGCCACAACCCAGTCATTAAAAACACTTACTAATTGTGACATCTTCAAGGGGGATGATTTAGAGGGAATTACTTTCATTAAATAGCAGAAACAGGCAACCTTGCTGCAAGGGCTGACTAGGAATGACCATCCAAAGACAAGGAGTCTTCTCCAAACAGCAAGGCTGCAGGGAGAAGCAATGGACTTTATGGTCCAATTTAAAACAGATTGAGCAAACATGCATTTTCACTGGCTGATGGGCCAGAGATAAGTTAATCAGCAGCCTCATTAGTTTGTACTCTGAATGAAAAAATTCCTACATGTGCAAAGAAAAGAGTTTGTATTATGGGTAATACTGCCTGTACCCATGATGTTGTGATTATGCTTGCCAGAATCCTTGTTAACTGAGCAGGATGATTCATTAGCAGCTGGCTAGTTAATGCTGTGTAGAAGAGCAGAGCACTGTCTTTGGAAGCAAAGAACAAGGACCCTGGGCCCAATTCTCTGCCTTTGCAGTGCAGAGAAGCTGCACCACCACCACTTCTGCACAGATGTACTGTTGGGAGGGATACCCCGGTAGACACTTCCAAAATTGGGGTTGAAGGGAAACGTGGCAGCACAGGTGTTCTGTAGCAGTGGGACGGGCTGTTCAGTACCTCGGTGGGTTTCTGGAGAGGTGCAGAGCCTGGAGAGGAGGACTCGTGCCAGAGCAGGAGGAAGAGGTTGGACCCTTGGCTGCGCCGTGTTGCTCAGCAATGCCTCACTTGGGGTATTTGACAAACTGACACTCTGCACACTGAGTGTCGGACTCAGCTTGTCAAATACACGCAGTGCCACACTGCAGCTCCCAGGGGGTCACAGTGTCTTCGCTGGATGCCAAACTGGGGGCACAGAGAGAGAAAAGAAGCACAAGAAGAGCTGATGTTAACTTCAGAGGCTTTTTCCAGTTAGCAAAAAACATCATTGACCCTCCCATATTTCCCCCTCCTATACTCTTCTTTTAGTGAGAGAGAACCACATCAGCAGACACTGCCTTCTGCTGAGGAAAGGGAAAGGTTTTTTTCATGTGAAAGCACAAAATAAAAAACAGTAATGTCCAACACATATTCTCCAAACCCAAAAGAGAGTGGAATAAGGTTTAAGAGCAAGGTAGCAACTACAGCTTTAAAGATAAAATCAGTTTCTTTGCAATTCTTGCATTCCCCCTGTCTCCACCTTCACCTTGGGCGGGATGTAGATAGTGACCAGTTCTTTGTTCTGGCTCCTCCTTCCAAATGGAATTCAGCCATGATAGATAAAAGTATATTGCAATGGATAAAAGGAGCATGTGTATTTCATGAACATAAGAAAACAGTGTTAATAAGCTGATTTAAGATCAGCCTACCAGAGTACAAGTGACCCTGTCATCCCCAAAAGGACCCTCAGCCATACCCAAGTGTGGGGAGGCCACCCAAGAAAGACTGAGCAGGCTCTTCAGCAGGTATCAGTGACCAGACTACCCTCAGCTTCAGTGCTGATGTCCAACAGGGGCAGAGCTGGCCTTGGAGGGGGAAGAACAAAAGAAGACAGCACTGCTCCTGCAATTGCAGCTTAAAATAATCCCCCGTGTAGCTTTTTGAAGGGAAAACCAGCCACTTGAAATGTTGCTATGAGGGACAGATAAGGGGAGGGTACACAGTGGAGATAATTCTATCAGCAGATGGGAATGGAACTTGCTACTCTACCCATAGAGATCATATCTAATCTGAATCAGTTTGTCATTGTAGAGGTTCTGGTTTCAAGCTGAAGTGGGTATTTCCAAGTAAAAGCTCAGAGTTATAAAACTGAACAATCTACAGTATACTCTAGGGGAAAACAGAAAGAGTTTTTCTTCCTGCATTCTTCAGTCAGTCTCTTACCAAAGTTAGAAAAAGTCCCCTCCAGGCTGCACATTTTCACGCAGGGCTGTCAGTCTGCTCTGCAACTTGTGATGAAAATAAATGAAAAGTAAGATTATTGGATAGATTCGATGCTAAACCTAGTAACAGCATGCATCAAAGTGTGGCTGGGTAGTTTTCACATACTGAGTAGCAGAGCCCCAGCATGCAGGCTGCAGCCATTTCAAGGCATGCATTTATTATACAGGATTTGAACTGGAATCAAGGTTATCTCCATTTTCCACCCAGTGAAACCCAAATCACAGCCTGAATTGAAAGCAAGAATACCCTGTGGGCAACAGGGTCTGCTGAACCCCTGGCCAGCTGAAACCTTGGGGTGTGCTTCTCCTAGGAGCTGGTAGCCTTCATCCTAAGAGTCAAACAATG